AAGAAATTTTAATCACCAGAGGCTTTAAACGTGTACTTTTAACATACCACTTGGATTTGCATTAAAAAAGAGCATAAAAAATTCAGCCCACAACAGTCTAGTCTTCTTCCCAACGATTCTTCCGCTGCTCCTAAAAAAAAAAAAAGGAAAAAAAGGAAAAAAAGCATCGTAGGGTCTAGCGCGTCAGCATCGCAATTAATGCGGGCATTGTCGAGTATCGAAATCGTCCACCATTGTTGGCTCTCGCCGAGATAAGTGGAGGAGCCTCCCAGCTTTTACGTCAGAGTCGTCTACTTCGCGTTGAAATCACTTCTTTGGAACTCGGCCGCGCTTCTCCTCCTCTTTTTCCAGCGTCTTTTTTCCCTACACCGATACATAATTTACGTACAGACTTTACGTACGTTGTTCAGTAGCATATACATCTTAATTAAGGTAAATTCACCTACTGGGGGAAAATTTAATTCGGACTACGATTTCAATTGTAATATAAAATTTTTCACCATTACGAAATGTTCAAGATGAGGGTGTTACTTCCTTGAAAAGTATTATAATTTTTCAATTAGTAATATACGATACCCCAAAAGCATGTATAACCAAAAATGTGGGTAACCTTTTTGAACCTAATACGAGCAACTTAAAAAATAAAATTTTGGTGTCTCTAACTAATTCTCCTATACATGATACATAATGTATTTCAATCGTAATCTCGCGTGACTCGTAATAGATGATATGTGAGGTTATTAAAAATTTGAAAGTTTTGAGGTTAAGTATCTGAAGGCACCAATTATGTTATTAAAATTATTAATTTGAAAATATATGTATACAATGACCATTTGTTTTTAACAAATAATTGCAATGGATCGTAGTAGGAGCCATTTTTTTGCCCCGTAATAAAAGTGCTTCTACCTCATGATCACATGATCATTATCGATCTGAATTTCGCAACGCCACCGGTAAACCGGTTACGTTAGAGGCAAATTTTCTTATGGACTTTTCCCCTGAAAAAAATAAAAACCATGAAAAATCCAAGTAAAGGACACTTGACGCACCTTTTTTTCAACGAAACAGATTCTGTTTTTCAAAAAAAAAAAGAAAGAAAAAAACGTCCCCAGCGAAACTCGGTCGCCTCCATAATTAATAAGCCCTTGAAAAATGTGCGACTTGATAAAGTATTATAATACGAGGGGGCATCAGCGTCGAGCCAACAACCACCGTCCCCGTCCCCCCCTTCATCTTCCGCGGAAACTCAAGTGCGCTCTTTCCCGATGAGACACTCGAAGCGTCGATTAACGATCCAACTCCTCCCTGCGCTCCGGTACTCCGCTACACACGTGGGGAAAGAAAAACGACCATATCCGTAATTACGGACTACTCGGCAAAAGGAGTAAGTGTTTTCGGCTTGGACCTGATTCCCGGATTCTCTGTGAAAATGTCAAATCAAACGGCTCAACAGCAGCGACTGTTTCCTCCGTATATTGGAAAAGGAGTGTCAAAGCCGAGAGTTAACAACGAGCAGTTGGTATTAAAGCCAGCTTTCATGTCTCTGTGGACCAAAGGAACCCTTTGAGGGGGAACACATTTCTAATTAAAAAAAGAAACCGTCCCCTTTCCCCCACAACATTATTCCACCAAACACTGGTGGCTTATCTTTCGTGTCCATCGTCAGCGTGGATATTCCACCCCTTCCCCCAAAGCCGAGAGAAGAGACCCACCTACTTCACTTCCTCCTCCTACTCGTGGCCCGTTCGAGATAATACGGCCACGTAGAGATGCTGGCTGTGCACGTCCTCCTCGGGTGGCCACTCGAAGCCGAGCTTGCGCGCGCGCGAGCCACGGCTTTCTATTCGCGGCACAATTTCCAACGAGGGAGACCCCACCTCCCTCGCCACGCCGAGGGCCTTGCCAGAGAGAGAGAGAGGGACATCGGTTCGCGGAGAGGCCTAGTGGATGATCGATACATCGCTCCGAGTGCCGAAAGTGGGAAGGGTGGAGTGCGTCTTCCTCGCTTTGGCCTATTTTCCATGCGAATACTCCACGTACGTAGACATCGCTGCCGTATATAATATATGCTCCAAGTTTGGTAAATGGTCGCGCGAATGTGGGTTCTGATTGGACTCGATTGATCGTTGAAAGTTCTTCTTCATTATGAACGTTGGTGTAATTGTTGGACTTTTTGCGTGCTTAATCAAAAGGCTATTATTCGAAATGTACGCACATCCCAGCAACACGCATTTGCTAATGTCCACCTGAGGTGGAAGTCCCAAAGACCTGTTCCAGGTGGACATTAGACGTCTACGATACATCCATATAAGAAATCTTCGGACAAAACAGTTTCCTGGGATGTTGACTCGTTTTTTTTCTTCAAGTACTGATGAACAATCCACCTTGTGAGCTTGATTTTTTTACTTTCGGAGGAGGACTCTACGATTATTACCATTATTGCCATAATCTCATATTTGTATAATAAGTCCGAATCATACCAGTGATTCTTTGTAACACGTATGTATTGTGTCTAATGTTCGACCTTAACGGTGCGAACACCTGGCCAACCTTGAGTCATCGCAGGATCTAACAACACGCGTGGCCAAGAAACTGATGAAGCGTTACCTAATTGTTCGACTAAATTCTCAATTCCAGTCACGACCGTGTCCCGTTTGGAATCCACCTGAAAAGGAATGAAAAAAAAAAAAAAAAAAAGGTTGAATATCCCAACAAGCCAAGTAGTGGTAATGACTGTATCTGAAGGCACTTGGTAAACACCAAACGCGCGCATTCGTCGATCTCTCGCGGGAGTTGGGTTCCTCTCTCGTCTTTGAAGCGTGGGCTGACGCCGGTAAAGGAAAGAGAAGAGACAAGGGGGAAAAAAAGGTGAGACAATGCCGGAAGACGACGAGCTAAAGCGATTGTGAGCGCCAGAGGAAGAGGAAAACGAGGTGCCGAGAGTACCTTCTTACGGAGTAAGCCACACGAGGGGGAAGCAAAGAAGAGGAAGATTCGCGAGACAAAAGATCGCTGGAGGAAGAGGGAGAGAGAGAGAGAGAGAGACAAATCTCTTGCTTCTGCTGGCGCATTCGAGTAAATTCAGCTGGGAGGAGAGGGTCGAGGGCAACCCTCTTGCTTTTGCCCCCTTCTCCTTTTGGATTCGGAACGAAGGTCCACGAGGGATTTCGCGCAAGCTGGCATGCCTTAACACTTGTCTCTGCGACGACTTACACCTTTGACCCTGGTAGTCGTGTGTAGTGTGGTACGTGGCCTGACTTCGATTGACTTGGCCCTTTTTTTTCGTGAATCGAGAAGAACGAGAAACGAGGTTACTAAGTTGACGGGTGTCTCTTGACGGTTGTCACAAGCTCGGATTTGACAATTTTGAATGATTTCTTCACTTTTTTTTTTAATCTTCTCCAGTGACGATACTCTTGGGATCATAATTGTTTTTAGGTTCTTGAAATTTTCATCATGGTTTTGTGTAAAGCGTCTGTTAGATGATATCTTCAATTGTTTTCTTCTTTTGTGAAGATGTTTCTAAGATAGTAGTTTTTTTAGTCCAAGTACTTGCATGATTTTTATATTTAGCAACTAGATGATGCTTAAAGAACTTTTTAATTTGTTCTCAATTTTGGTGAAGATATTTTTATGATTGTAGTTTTTTCTTTGGGTCTTGATATTTTGACCATGTTCTAATTGTCACTTCTGAATGACATTTGGACAATTTCTTTATTTTTTCTCATCTTCAGTGAAGATCTTTTCGAGATTATTGTTTTTGTATGTATTTAGGTACTTGCAAGATTTTATATTAAATGCAGACAATTTTTAATGATTTCTTCAGGTTTTTCTCTTCTGACGTGAAAATATTTTTAAGATCATTATTTGTCTTAGTGTCCCAGTACTCGAATGATTTTGTGTGCAGCTGTGGATTACTTTAGAAAGATTTCATGCTTATTTCTCTTCTTCTGTAAATATATTTCTGGGATCATTGTTTTTCTGCGGGTCTTGATATTTTTAACACGGTTTAATGGTCAACTTTAGAGAATTTCCTCATTTTTTCTATTCTCTGATAAAGATCTTTCAGAGATAATTATTTTTTCATGTGTTTTGGTACTTAAACGATTTTACGTTCAGCTGTGAACAATATTTACATGATTTTCTTTTCTTCAGAGAAGATATCCCTGAAATCGTTGGTTTTTTGAAGTTTTTATATGGTAAGCATGGTTTAATAGTCATCTCTGGATAACATTTGCACGAATTCTTCATTTTCTTCTCTTCTTCAGTAAAGATATTCCTGAAATTATCAGTTTGCCATTTGTTTAGATATTCGCATGATTTTATGTTAAACTTTGGACAACGTTTGGACAAATTCTTTATTTTCTTCTTTTCTTCAGTGAAGATATTCCTGAGATCGTGGTTTTTCTTTACGTCCTGATAATCGATTAGCGTAACATTCAGTTGCAGGATTATTCATATGTTAATTCTTCTAGAATTTAGATGTATTTTTTACGTCTAGATAATGCCTTGTTAAACTGGTCGTGGAAGATAACGAATGTAGCATCTTTTTCGGCCATCTCTTATCGATTTAAGTTAATCAAAGATTCAACGCATGTTTTGTCACGATAGAAACATTGAAGCTATATTATTTACAAAAGCATCTTTTGCCAAACTAACAGTTTACTCTCACGTAATTCCTTATCTTACCACAAATTGTATTCCAATCGTTGTTAATAGTTCACAGCATCTTCTCGGCTACCACAAAGACTATCACAAGTGAGAGCGAAGGAGAGATACAAGCGAGGGGCGAAAGGAGAAGCTTTCCGTTCTCTCTCCCTCTGCGCCCGATTTCTGCGAGTTGTGCAGAAAATTCCGGCCACCCTCTCCGGAGCATCGAAAGAGACGGAGAGCCAGTAGGCCGAGAGAGCAGCTGCGAGCTCCAGTTGTTCTCGCGAAGGTGAGTCGTCTTCATCTCCCGGCGCACCATCTAGTTACGATTTTTTTCTCACTCTCTCTTATCTTCGATGTAGTCCCGCTGCGAGAAGACGCTCGAGACGATCCGAGTGCGCGCTATTACTAAAGTTCACCGTCTGTCGTTGTTAAATGAGAGTCGGGTGATTTTTCCACATGGTAATGCGCTGAAATCGGCAAGTCTGAAGATGCGGGAGGGACTCAGCGGCGGCACTGTCGGCCTCCTTGTGCTACTTACTGTGGTCCTCCAGATGGCCACTTTTGGCCATGCACAGTAAGCCTCGTTGCGCTGATTGAGTTTTTTTTAGTTTTTTGTATGAGTGGATTTTGGAGTGCGACGATGCTTACCGATTTTTCAACTTTGAAGTTTCACGAGATCGGTCATGGATTGTGATTGAGTGAAAAACGGTTTTTGAAGCTTTTTTTATTTCTAATTGATTAACAGTTGCTCTGTGTAGTCCTTAGTACTTTTTTAGTATTATTATAGAAAACACGTAACTATCAGGATGTATAGGAATGTACATTTAGCTGGTCGATACAAAATCCGATTGTTCAATACGGTAGAAAAAACATACGAAATCTTGCCGATTTTACATAATTGTAACAACATTAATTTTAATTTGATGGTAAATTCAAGTATAACATTTCAAAACTGCCATCGCCATCAACTTTAAAGTATACTCAACTTCTAAATACGGAATTACCTAGATAATACTGTAGAAATACAATTCATCCGATTTCGTTTATTGTCTGTACTTTCGACCACCTATTTTTTTCAGTATAAGAATAATTTTAAGAGTAAATGTCGAAAGCCAATCAAAGGAATGAATTGATTGCAGGAAGCGTTTGGAATTTTTAGATTTGCTGCCGGAAGATCCTATGCTTTACGACAAAATGCGACCACCGAAAAAAGACAACGCAGCTACCATAGTGTACTTCCACGTTACTGTCATGGGTCTCGACTCTATCGACGAAAACGCAATGGTCACTACATTTTTCATTTTTCACGCGATTTTTTTTCTCTCCTATTGCATTCAAACAATAAATTACTCTCATCGCCGTAGACCTACACCGCGGACATATTTTTCGCGCAAACTTGGAAAGACAACAGGCTGCGACTTCCCGAGAACATGACGTCCGAATATAGGTTCGAACCATTGATAGTACTATTGAAAAAAAAAAAGTAAAACTCAGTGCTCGTAACGTTACTTTTTATTTCTACTCCAAAGATTGTTAGAAGTGGACTGGTTGAAGCAGATGTGGAGACCAGATTCGTTTTTCAAGAACGCCAAATCGGTGACGTTCCAAACGATGACGATACCCAATCACTACTTGTGGCTATACAAGGACAAAACTATTTTGTACATGGTCAAGTAAGTTGCGACGCGGTTATCGGAAAATAAATCAACATTTAGTCGATCGTCCATGAAAATTTTCTGATTTCAGGTTGACGCTGAAATTATCCTGTGCGATGAATTTTCTCATCTACCCCCACGACACGCAAGAATGTAAATTACAAATGGAAAGTCGTGAGTATCGTTTCTCATCATATTAACACAAATGATACAAAATCATCAAAGAGGTTGTTGCCTTTGAATAATTTACGAGCTCAAGTTCTCCGAAAAACCTCGTGACTTTCAATTGTACGCCCTGGGCCTACGGTATCGTGTCTTATCGTACTGAACTTGTTCTACTTATAATACACACAAACTCGGTCTCCCCTTTTACTCCATCAGCTTTTTTTTCACAAAGCCAATGATCGACCTATTTATATAAAATGTAGGTTCGAAATATAAAAAAAAATTCCGTACCAAGTTGAAGAAGTCCAATAACCAAAGAGCTTATAAAAGGTGCTCGTTCGGTTACGTTGAATCGAGGGTTCGAACAAAATCGATGCTGGTGACGGGGGTATCGTTGCCCGGAAGCGTAATCGGTGCTCTTTGAACACCATCCACTTGAAAGCCCATCCACCGCAACCTCGATACTTGTCGAGATGGATCACCGTTGCGGCGTGGCGGGCGTTTGATGGAGCAGAGTTGAGGGGGGGGGGATAGAAAGACGTTTATTCGATGGAGTGTTTCGCGGCTAATCGACCTTACAATCTGAGGGTATGTATAGCGGTGTTGTGAGTTGAAAAGGAAAATGTCGGTCAACAGTGTCGCACACCACGGACGAGATGATCTTCCAGTGGGACCCGGACGTGCCTCTGGTGGTCGACGAGAGCATCGAGTTGCCCCAATCGGAGCTCATCAAAAATTACACGGCCGACTGCACGCAGGTTTATTCCACCGGTACGCACGACATTCAGTTTTTGTTTCATGTAATTCTTGTGTCTTCATTTACGAAATAGTCCATCAATCGGTAGTTTGATCATTGATTTATACCGTTTTTTCATTCGATTCCCCAAATATTTACATGCTGATCAGGTAACTTTACCTGCCTGGAAGTCATTTTCGTTCTAAAACGACGCTTGGGCTACTACCTGTTTCACACTTACGTGCCAACTTGCCTGATTGTCATCATGTCGGTGAGTTTTCACATCAAAGATTACGAACCAACAAAGTTACTCGATTGGAAAAAAAAACACGTGGTTTTATCACACGGTCAGACTATGAGGCAAACCACACGGTTTTGTCCCATACCGATATTTTAAAAAACCACCGGATGGTATGTAGTGATTTGGGACAAAACCACATGGTTCACCTTATTGTCTTACACCACGTGGTAAGACTACATGGTTTTCTTCAATGTTGAAGTTTCCAAGTTACAAAAGTACTTTGAAAGACTTTAAAGCCATCCAGAAATGATGACTTCAAAGTCTCTTGAGTCTTTAAAGAGACTCGGGAATTGTTATCGATGCGTGGAAGTGCGCAGTCCTCAGCAATTCCGTTTCTTCGAGATCGATACGATAGCGAAACCTTGTGTGGTCATCATTGCAGTGGGTGTCCTTCTGGATAAAGCCAGAGGCAGCGCCGGCCCGAGTGACCCTTGGCGTGACGTCACTGCTGACTCTATCGACGCAACACGCGAAGAGTCAAGCCTCGCTACCGCCCGTCTCCTACCTCAAAGCCGTGGACGCGTTCATGTCAGTGTGCACGATATTCGTGTTCATGGCGCTGATGGAGTACTGCCTGGTCAACATAGTCCTCATCATGGGGGAGACCAGTGAACCCCCGCCGAAGCCCCAACCCCAGCCACCTCCACCACCACCACCTGGACACGGACCGGATCCCAAGCTCGACAAGATCTTCGACATCGCCAGCAAGGTAATGACTGAGTGCCAAGACTACGTTACCAGCTCTCGATCCCTGGTCCTCTGCGTTGCTAAAGCTCCCGCGATGTTAGTTCACAAAATGGCCATTGACATGGTTAGGTCTTGAATCGAGCAACGCGGAGGATCTCAGGGGTCCAGCGCTGTACGACGCCTCAAGTGGTGATCGTTGCTGCACGCAGGAAAACGCAATGTTACTATCCGGTCGGTCCCAAAAGTCGGCGAGCGTGCCACCACCGAAGCCGAAACCCAACAAAATGGCCATGGCCAAGATACGGGCCGTCAACATCGATCGTGTCTCCCGAGTGCTGTTCCCGGCGCTCTTTGCCTGCCTGAACGTGTCCTACTGGATCATCTTCTGGAAGTACGTCTAAGGAGGCCACGCCGAAATTTCGAGACTTGGTTCTGATGAGGATAATGGAAGAAGGAGTAAAAAAAAAAAAACACGAGTGAAAAGGGTTTCGTGTTGGTTTTGTCGATGGATTACGAGCGTTAATGTACAGGTAACGGATTTCCAACCAACGATGGAATTTGTGAAATCTCAAATAGTATATAGAACATGAAAATAAAAGTGACTGTGGAAGACGAGAGCTTCCACGGACGTTGTAAGTTGATTTAGAATATCTCTGATTGAAGAACTGATGGTGTAGGAGTGTACAAGAAAAACTGGAATTAGCCATCTGGTGTAAACTGATGTTCGGATTTTCGGGGTTCGGTTGATTGTTATCTTCGTTTTTCAACTCACGATATACGTACTTGTTACTCTCTATTGGATGTCGGAAAAACGAAGAGATCCCCTGTGCCCCACTGAATCCTTCATCACGCGGTGTACATATTAAACAAACCACCTCCTTTGAGCAAAGGAAGAAAAAAAACAGTTAAATCTAAATAAAACGGTACTACATCCCTTGATGGATTTTGTACCGATAAGCACTGACGACTGGCCCCAAAGGCGCTGATTTATCTCGTTGTATAACAATGCCTATATCACACGAGCGCAGAACGACGGCGTTCAAAACGATGTCGTGAAGTGTTGCTGTCCCTCTCTCTGGTCCCAGACAACAGTGTATAAGATTTTTTTTTTTTTTTTTTTTTACTAATTATTGAGTGTGAAAATACGTTTGGACTTGACTCAGTTGTACATAAAAGTCATGAAATTGTGAAGGGGGTTATTATGAAGAACATATTTTTTTATTTATGATCAGTTTGACGAACAATGGAAACAATTTGATATTTTACCACAAAAAGTTGCGAAGGAGTTAGAAAAATTTTTAAGTAGTGAAAAACATTATATTTTCTTTGGTTGTGTATCGGTACTAGTTTACATAGTTTTTTTTTTTATTTAATTTTCATAACGTGAATATGTTGTAAATAATACCAAAATCAACTCGTGCGATTTTTTTTCAAAAACTGTTTAACTAAATGAAATTTTATGATAACCCCGTTAGTGATAAACCAGATGAATTGATCATAAAAAGAGATAAGAAAGGTACATTGCTTACCATGTGAATTGAAATAGATTGTGTTAATTATAAATATAATTTGTTTTTTTTTTTTTTTTTTTTTTTTTTTTTTCTTATTTAAGAGATAGATTTTATTTTTTAAACTACATAAAATTTAACGGAAAATATAAATAGTACAGTTAGGAATAATCGAAAATTAAATTATAGTTGTAAGTGCGAAGCGATTAATCGTAGATTTTTTGACTAAAAACAATGTTTGGAAAACAACTTTGGAAGTAAAAATGTTTAAGTCCAGAGTAAATTTATTTTTCAAAATTTACCACACCAGATAAATCGTATATTTACCGTTGAGAAATTAAGGATATTTACGAAAGTTACGAACTATTTAAAATTACTTGAGGATCTAAAGGTGAAAATAGGCCTAAAATTAATCTATTAACGTCCTGTCAATATTCGTATAGTTGAATTTTTAGTGCATTGTAATATATGTTATATCTTTCTACTTCAATCTAAAAACTGTAGACAAATTGTGAAATTTTTCAATTACAATATAAATAGCACTAAAAAAGATTCAACAATTTTCTAGAATTCCTTACGTATTAAAACGACGAAACTACTAAATTTAAATTTCATGTTACGAAAAATTCGATTTTATCATTACTCTCGCAAAATAATATAAAACAATTGTCAATCTGACGCAAGAACTTAAAGAAAAAAAAAAAAAAAAAAAAAAAAAAAAAAAAAAATTCAAACCCAACATTGTATTGTGCTTTTCATTATTAACGTACGAGAAAAAAAACTTTTAACTTCTTAAGCTTTTCTATGATTAAAAATCGTACTGTAATGATAAACAGTAATGTATACATGAAATATAGGTGCATTATCAAAGGCGATTATCCGACAGCGAAAAAAATTTAACTTTGTATTATACCATTTCTTTTGATTATAACGATGATGATTAAGTACGACAAAGCTAAAAAAAAAAAATTATAAACGAATGAAATAATAAATGCTGTTCACTATCGTGCGACCCATTTCCGGCCGCTGTAAAGTAAAAATAACGATAAATCATTGTAATTTAAGCACTGGTGAGAACATACAGATTAATAATATTAAAAAGCGTTGATATAAGTTACTACGAGTGTTTTATTCATTGTCTTTTCTATATAAACTTTCATCCCACTGTTGTACATCCTACACGAGCTCGACTGCAGTAACTTTTAGAAAAACACTGATATTAAATTGTTAAACTGTTTCGGTAAAAAAAAAAAAAAAAAAAAACCACAGATTGATTCATTACCAGGGATTGCTTCAACAGCTTCCGAGTGGTACAACGTGTAACTTTACCATTAAAATATTGCTCTGAAAAGCTCTCGTCGGTCAAACAAGTTCCCAACCATCCAGCGGTCGATAAACCTCTCACGTTGTAAATAGAGCTTTTTCCTTTCCCATACAAAACAATTATAATGAAAGGAAAAATCGGATGTTGCACGTATAATACCTATGTGAGCTTCATCCCTTTTCCCAAAGAGAGAGAGGGTAAGCGTGGTTTGGTGCGCGCGTCGGAGGACCGCAGTTTCGGGCGGGGGGGTATTGATTTCGAGGAAGAGAGAAGCTCCTGATGCGTATACGTGTATATAGTAAAGCTCCCGACGTGAGCTCCGCGTGTGCTCGAGACCCATCCCGTGAAAAAACTGTACCGGAGGAACAGGACCTCTACCTCTTTTTTTATTCGTCCCTGCAGTGTCGTCAAACTCTGGGATTTGGTAAGTTTTTCTTTTGTGCACGTTTTAAGTTTTCATCCTAATTTTTATTAAACTTGGTATAACCAATGCTATGGTATAGTCGGGAAAAGTCAATTTTTAGTGTGCAAATTTTGGAGCGGGTCAATAAACGCCGGTGCTTTCGTGTGTTTCGTAACTTCAATTTACCACTTTGCTTTCAAGTGACTAATTTTGATTTTGTACAGGTGCAAACAACACACATTTTAATTTACATCGTTAAAAGCTCTCATTTGTTTTTTTTTTTTTTTTTTTTTTTTATTATTAATAATAACATAATTATCGTGTGTGTAATCTTTGTAACTTCAATTTACCACTTTGTTTTCAAGTGATTAATATTGATTTCGTATCTTGCATCATGAAAAGCTCTCAATAATCAATTTTTTATTTATAATCATATGATCCGTTTGTTATTTAAAAGCCCAAGCGAATAAAAATTCACACATGTGTACACAAGTTTCCCGGCGAGTGTCGAGAGTAAAAATTCACGACCCTCGTGACCTAGTACACATACGATCGCATGTATGTGTAACAGTTCCCCAAAGGTCTGTGGCCCTCGGGGGACGACTCTCTTTTTCCCTTTCTTTCTGGTCCTCCCTCGCGCAAACTTTCAAATTCCAAGTGGCCTTTACCTTCAAGATACTCCATACCCACACATAAACAGCAAGTATACGGAGTGTAAACGACACAAGTGGATAAAAAGGGACACAATGATTTCGTATAAATGTTGAAAATCTTTGGATTTATTTATTTCGAAAGAAATAAATATTTGCTTGAATCCAAATGTATACGTAGGCTCTGTCAAGACGAGGAGCAGAGGTGGACGATGGTAAGCCGGGAGACGGGGTCGTCTCCGGCTGGCCGTGTACGAGGCGCAGCACCGGCCGAGGGATGGAGCTCCACGTGCCCAAGCCGTCCTCCCGAGCAACCAAGATCGTCGTTGTCGTCTGTTTCCTCATCTCGATCGTCCTCATCTGCCTCGAGAACAGCTGCATCCTCGGCAATCTATCGCGACGCATTGTCCTTCGTAGGATCGAGTTCAGATCGGAAAACGGGAATTTGTTTTACCAGGCGACTGACGAGGTCAGGGAGATACCGCTCGACGATTCGGCGGGCCTAGAGAGGAAGATCACCAAAGTACAGCTGGTCCCCCTCTGGACGAGCAATGAGACCCTCAAGGTCAGTTTATATATGTGATACCGATTGGCCAGTAAAGGGCTGAGAACTCATATGGAGTCTGAGAAATAAGCACAAAGTCCTCTATGAAATTATTTAAAGAGACCTGAATATCATCTTCATGACTGCCGATTAAAAAAGTCTCTGCTTAGATTGGAAGTCAAGATAAGGATACGAATTTAATAGTTTTATAGTTCATAATTCAAGTTATTCTTAATTTTCAAGACTTTTGAAATGTACAGTCTTTTTTTAGATTTTCAGTTTTTCCTATCAATAGATTCCCATATGATTCCCTTTTAGAATCCAAGTCGAATGATTTTGAAATCTGTTACATTTCGTCACATGAATTTATCAAGGAGTCCAAAAATCCATATTCAAACGTGAATCGATGGATTATATTTATGTATAATACATGAAGCTGTCTGTTTTTTTATTTTTATAGTACAGATGGTAAATCAATGCATCGTAATTTTGCATATCTAGCTATTAAAAGCAAATAATTGTTATAATTGAAATTTAATTGGATTCTATACGGAATTCTCTATGAATCTATGTTTTGAAAAGAGACTGATTTCACGATAAAGTATATATTTAATCAGTGAAGAATCTATCGGTAATCAATATGGATTGCATGCTGGTTCTATGGAAAACCTGTATGAATACTGTCAGTAACATTGAAACGCCGATGAGGATATAAGAACATTAACGATCTAGTTACCGATTAAAAACTAGTAGATCCTAGAAACTACTCGACACTTTAAGTATATCTACCTTCCAAGTAATTAAGAAAACTCGGGACTTCTAAGTCGGTTCACATTGAATCAAAGTCCTTAGAAAATATACAAACTCATCACGAAAAATCTTTAAATATATAATTTCAAGGCTCTTACCAAGACTCCAAAGTTCACATCCTTTCTTATCTTCTATGAACGATAGACTTAGAGAATTGATCATTGCAGGAATCCCTGGACGTTCCAGTCAAGTACAAGGTCCTGCGACAGCAGGGTCTCGTAGCGAGGAGACAACTACCGAGCGCCTTGATCATCGGTATCAAAAAGGGCGGCACCAGGGCCTTGCTTGAGTTCTTGAGACTGCATCCCGACGTCAGAGCTGCTGGCTCGGAGGTTCATTTCTTCGATCACCACTATTCCAAAGGCTTCCAGTGGTACAGGTGATTAGAGCATATGGATAATATTGATTTGAAAACAAAGATTTGAGCCGATTCCTTATTGTTTGATCGTGTAGACATAGAATGCCGGCCACTCTGGAGGGCCAAGTGACGATGGAGAAGACCCCTTCTTATTTCATAACCAGCGAGGCACCCCGTCGCGTTCAATTGATGAATCCAGGTACGAAACTCATAGTTGTCGTCCGCGATCCGGTCACCAGGGCCATATCCGACTACACGCAGGTCAGAAGCAAAAGATCGACGATGCCCAGGTTCGAGGACATGGCGTTTCTCAATGGATCACAGGTTATGTGTTCACTTGGACTTTACAATGGATATGTTTCGACATTGGCCAAGCGTGTGCCTAATTGTCATGTTAACGACAGGTCGTGGACACAACGTGGGCGCCCCTTAGGATCGGTGTGTACGCCAAGTACCTGGAGCGTTGGCTCAACTACTTTCCGTTGTCGCAGCTGCTCTTCGTGTCGGGTGAACGGCTGATTGCCGATCCGGCATTCGAGATAACGCGCGCTCAGGACTTTCTGGGATTGAAAAGACTCGTTTCCGAGAAGCATTTTTATTTCAATTCGACCAAGGGGTTTCCTTGCCTGCTCAAGTCTGAGGAGCGGGCTACGCCGCATTGCCTTGGTAAGGATCTCGATAATAAAATGTGCAACGCACAACTAGGCACTGTTGGGGTATAATGAACCGAAAATCAAATATCTCTATAGATAGATACAGGGTTATTGGGAGACTTTCTTTTTTATTAAAGAGAAGACAAAGTAAATTACGTAAAAACTCTATCCCGTGATAAATATTGTCGGGTAAGGATAGGAACACTAAAGGATAAGAATAGGAAGGTTATTTGGAGATGATTCGTTGAATGATTTTTAGAATTGTTCGTATGTTAAAAATCATCTAAAAATGACTTTAGCATTTTATTTCACTATTTGTGACAAATTGACCATAAGAGGTTATGTTTAAGCTTATGTGTGCCTGATGATATTTATCACGAGGTCTTCTTTTTAGTTGAAAAAAAGTCTCTCTAACCTGTATTTATCCAGAGATATTTTATTTCCAGACGAAATCTTTCATTCTGTCCCACTGTGTGACGTGATGGAAGGACACTTTCATGTTTTATTTTTCCAGGTAAAAACAAAGGTCGGAGCCATCCTTTCATTGATCCCGTAGCCATTCAACGCCTTAGAGACTTCTATCGACCTTTCAATCGACGTTTTTACCAACTCACGGGCATTGACTTTGGTTGGCCGTAAAAAAAACAATCATCCGCGTACAACGAAAATCCATGTCCGTCTAACGCGCACTAATCACGTATGCGTCGATGAAAAGTATCTACTATACTATTCTTAAAAACTTTTATGATATAAATATTTTTTTTCATTTTCACACTATATATACCGTTCTAAGGAAAACTTAACCTATACACTGCAAACGCTCGATTTTCTACAAGGAAAGTTACCGCGTCCGTCAGGTTTTAACTATAGACAAGTATAGAATCTTAGGGATACACCTATAGAAAAACGTAAGTAAGTAAAAGTTGTAACGAAAGCAAAAAAATGAAGTCAATTTTTTTCAGACTAAAACAAAAAAAAAAAAAGTGTTTGAAATCGTGTTTAGAGAATGTTGACAAATGACAAAATTTAGCAAAGTATTTCGGTGCCTATACGAAAATGGTAATCGATCCTTCCAGATGACGAAAATGTTTATACAATACGTAACTACATATCGTAGAAAATGCGAGTATAGGGGAGACTTTTACGTCCCTGGCGATAATGTATATCGGCTATACCTATAGCATATAAGTATTTTATACGACAACAGTATTAATAGTCTATAGCGCGTATACTAAACTCATCAAAGGTTGAGAAAGTTGCTCTCGGTCGATAATGACTGTATATTGACCGGAGTATAAGTAGTGAGTGAAAATTTTTTTCCTTTTTAAAGGAAAAATTTTCAAAAAATTTTTCGTATTTTTGCCAAAATTGACTACGATACAATGTTAACACCATGAATGTTATCGATAAAAAGATTATATTGTTTGTAATTATTACACGTAGACGTAATTTATAACATATATACGTAAATTGAAAATGGTGCACAAATTATTATTGCATATCAAAATACGACGAGGTCACGTGATACTTCCAAAATAATGTTTTTACATTTCGTTTTGGCGAGAGTAAAAATATCGTTAATTCGAAGATAAAATTGTCTCAATAATCGCGTTAATTAGGATAACAAAAGTTAAGTTATTAGCAAAAAAAAAGCATTATAAATGTAAAGTGCTGCATAATTAATCAAAATGTAGGTGGAAAAAAAAACGTTGTTGTGTACTATAACTAAACTGTACGCTGAAGCAATGGTCGAGGCAATGGTTCTACGAAAATGAACACCGATATTTATACTTTAGATGAATTTATTTATACACTGTATGTACATCATACGATGATACTGAAGATAAAAAAAAGAACTGTATAAGTAATTTTGCACAATAAAAATACAAAACAAACGTAATAAATAAACATTTTTTTTTTTCACACAAATCAACGACAAAGAAAATTTCATCGTCATCACCCTTGTTGAATTAATCACATCACACTTAATCATTTTAATGCAAAATAACAATTCCACTAACTTTTCTCTTTAATTTTAGATACACACTTTTAAAATTTTGTTATTTGCTTTTGAACTTTGACAGAATACGGCGTACACTCGAAATATTGCTCTAATGTTCTCGTAGCACTCGTTTCTACAGTATCATTCATATACATTTAGGATACCCCTTGCTTCTTTTTTTTTTTTTTTTACAAAATTATCACAGAAATTATTACTGCTACTAAAAGCTACGCAATGCAATCCATATATACAGTGGCTGCTAAATATTGTTTAAAAATTCGTTAAAACTAGTTCATGAAAATATATATATTTCGTATCCTTAAAAATCAAAGTTCCTAAATGAGGCAGCTTCTTTCAACTTTAAAACGTATACATTGTGATATAATACATCTCACACTTGTGATAAAAATATACTTTGAATAATAATTTAAGTAATATAAGTGAGCATTGCTTAAACATTGCTACATTAGACTCTAGTTAGGTAGACCACGTGGTTTCGTCTTAAATTACTCAACGATTTTTCGAATACCACCTGTTAATTTTTTAAAAATATCTGCATGGTATTCCAAAAACCACGTGGTAATTTGAGACGATACCACGTGTTTTTGCGTAATAGAGTTTCACCACGTGCTAAAACCACGTGATTTTTATTTAACAGAGGACTCATCGAAGATAATAAGTGAGGCAAGCATCAACGATATTGAATTAAAGTCAATTAATGTGACGTCTTCGGCATGAAAAACACGATAACAATGCGGTTTGATTCATCATAGCTACAAAAACTTATGCTGTACGATGAATCATATTGAAATATAGAAATAGATGAAGATCGATGAAAAAAAAAAAAAAAAAAAAAAATATCAAAGTATTAGCGGAAGGACAATAAGGTACGAGGCTTTTACATTCACGAGNGATGAATACTAAAATGAAAAAAAAAAAAAAAAAAATACTGATCAATTTTACGAGTACTTGAAAAATATTGCTTCTTTAATACACGCGCCACACTGCAGTTATACTCCTAAACAAAATCATCAATTCCAAACACGAGTCTCTCTCTATAGGTTAACCGCTACATCTCATAATTGTTTTGGCAAACGTGTCGTAACCCTTAACGTCCGGTTTGATTAGTAAATTCACAAAAATACTAGGATCCACGCGATCACCATGGCGCTAGGGCACAATGACGTCCCGCAGCACCTGTTTTTGGTGAGTGGCCCTCTCCTTGAGCAGTTCGTCAAGGCCCTCTTGCGTGTAGTATACGACAAAGTCCTTGGGCGCCACCCCCTCGAACACGGCGTAGACCGACGGCTTGAGGTTGTAGAAAAACAGCGGCTGGCCTCGTGCCGCAAAATCTTTGGTCAGCGATTCTACGACTTTGGCAGCTGTGAAATCCGCCCCGTAGATGTGGGAACAGTCAATGACCACGGGGGTCGATTCACCGCCTTCTCGAAGGCTGTACTTGGTCACCAAGTTGCGCACGTAGTCCACCGATGGAAAGATGAGACATCGGTCGGGTGTCAGCATCAGGTAATCGACACCTCGAAGGCTCTGGAAATAACAACATTTTACGTGCCATCCACCAAAAGGCCCAAAGAAAATAAAGCAACCAAGTACCAGACACTATAATTTGTGACCCTTACCTTTAACTTCTCGATGCTTATCTTGGGTCTAGCTGCGTGATAAAGGATAAAGAGAACGTTGATGCCGATACCAATGGCTATTCCGTATTCCAACTGCAGTGCCAGACAAGCAATGAAGGTCCCCACTCCCGGTATCAAGTCGGATTCTACAATGAAGACAAGTCAATAATGATCCACAACTTGTGCCCCTACTGGCTTATGAGAGCTCTTAGGGTCAATAATAATCTACTGGCTAATGACAGCTCTTAGGTTGGTACAACCTACCTCCTCCTCTACTTAAAACTAACCAAAAGTAATGTTAACACCGTTAGGTTAAACAAACTAATTTGAACATGTGGGGTTGACCTAAATATCTCCAAAATTTACTCGAAATTGATGAACCAAACGGTGGGTTTATTCCAAAAATGAATTACCAAGTTATTTAAGGTTGGCGGAACTGTCGCCGCCATGATGAAACGGACGGAGTTGTGTTCCAGGCGTATTTACACCGTTATACAGCTGGTTGGATGAACATGAAACATTAGTGTTTGAGATTTTTGGTACATCTATCGAATCAGCTGTGTTTACATGCCTGGAACACAACTGCGTTCGTTTGATCATGGCGGCGGTATAGTGCCCGTTACCCACGGTTAGTTAAATAGAGGTGGAGGGGGTAGATGCCAACCCAAAGAGCCAATTGAAACATCATTCGCGAATGGGCCTGTAAAATAATTAAATCCAAGCAAATCATCTGCGTTACGCACTTTTCGTTCTCCACATGGGCTTGATAACTTTGACCTCTACCATGAAGATAACAGCGGCGATGATTATGGCCGCCAAAGTGGCTTTCGGTATGTAATAAAAGTACGGAGTGAAGAACTTCAGGGCCAATATGACCAGGAAACCCGTGTAAATACCACCCAAAGGCGTCCGCACGCCAGAAGCGTTGTTCACAGCACTCCTGCTGAGAGATCCACTTCCAGGGAAAGATTTGACGAATGAATTGCCAATGTTTGAGATTCCTATGGCTATCAGTTCTTGTGTGGCGTCCACTGACTTTCCGTTGGCTGTAAAGTCGTAAAATTCCATATGAGTAAGTAAATTGGTCTTGTAACACTATGTCAAATGGGAGAAGCTGTCGAGCTTACCAAAAGCCTTGCAGATCGCAATATCTTCCATCAAACCGATCAAGGGTAGGACGATGATCCCGTTGCCTAAGTTGGCGCACATGTCTAAGAACGAGACCGTGGCGTTGTCCGAGTTCATAAAACCAAACGGAGGTGCTTGAACTGGCGGCATTCCACTCGGGATAGCACCTGGAATTCATTTTGAATATATAAAATGTCCAAGATGTTGGAATTGCTATTCTCGGCACTCACCTATGAGTATGAACGGACTGTTTCCCGTAGGAAAATTGTAGGCAATAGCTCCGCAAATGATGACGAGCAGCGCGTTTCTCGACGTACCCGTCAGCCAAAAGAAGTTGTTTACCACTTTTTGTCCCTTACTGCGAAGGTGCTCGTCATCCGGGCCAAACTTCATGGAAGCCACTGACTGTAAACAACAAAGGCTGTCAGTCTCTTTTGCATACACCGGTTTTGGGATGACAAATCTGGAAGAGTAACTAACCCGCAAAATGAGAAGGAACACTATGCAGGAGACGCCCAGAGCCGCGTCGCACACCCGAGTGGTGTGCAGCTGCTCGACGATGCTACGCCACATTTCGACGAAGGTCGGCCCTTTGGCGCTGATGCCCAGAATGTCCTTTATCTGGGACGATACGATGATAAGGGCGACGGCTGAGGTGAAGCCCGAGCTTACCGGACCGGACACGAAGTCAATCAGGAAACCTAGAAGCAACGATTTCGAGGGTGAGATTGCAAAGGCATTTGTACATCTTGGGGTGTGGATGTCCTTACCAAGTCCGAAAACGCCCATGAGCAGTTCGATGAGACCAACGAGAAAGCAAAGTAAAACCGCGTGCCTTTCCCTGTCCTCGATGGGGTTGATGTGGCTGACGGTCTGGTAAGTCAGTAGGGACATGATGGCAGTGGGTCCGAAGGGCACGTCCTTGCACGAGCCGAAAAATATGTAGGTGAAACAGCCCAGGAAACTGGCGTAGAGGCCGTATTCGGCGGGCAAACTGGCGACCTGCGAGTAGGCGAGCGACTGGGGTATGACGGTGAGGCCGACCGTGATGCCGGCCACGAGGTCGCCGAGAGCGTCCTGGCCGTTGTACTTGGGCAGCCAATTGACGATGGGCAGTCGCTTTTTCAAGGTCTTGCGCGAACAAGAGCGTCTCAATCGGCCGATCAGTTCGTGGCCGCAGTCGAGCAAACCGTTCTCGCGCTGCTTGCTCTCGTCGTCACCTGCGTCTGGATCCTCCACCACTGGAACATTTTTTTTTTTTTTTCCCGTTTTTGTGACATTTTTTAGAATTGTATGCAGCTTTTTTCAAAAAAGCAGCTTCGTACATTTTCACCAAAGCAAACAAGTGGAACTATTTGTCGTTACGTGAGAACATTTAATGCTAGCAACCGAAGAAGGAAAGAATATATATGAATTCTCTGATTTCTAAATGATAATTTCTTTTTTTTTTTTTTCTTTCTATCACTTTGAAAATTAAGGTTCAACACTGACAATAGATAAACATTTTTTTTGGAATTTAAAAAAACACTGCGCAGGTTGCAAAAAATGTGGAAAAAAATTTTTTTATTTGCCCATACCATTGAAAAGTGTTCTAAGAACAACGTGTTTAATAAAAAGTAGCGGATCTTAAACAAAACAATACCTTTGTTTCGTACCTACGTATTGAACTAAAGGTGATCCAGAATGCAAAAAAAAATTGTACAAAAACTACAAACCCGTTTCTTACTATTATTGCACCATAGTGTTGCGTAGGATTGGGGTGCGCACGAAGTAAATAGTCGAGGAACTAGTATCAACGTCTTTATTTATGCAAAAAACGATAGAAGAGCGCGTCGCGTGTGTACGACCTTCGTCCTTGCCGGTTCCAGCCAGAGAGAGTGCTGCTTTCAGCATCCTATCTGCTTATCGCTTTACTCTCTCCCACTACAATCATCTGTAGTAGGCCCCAAAAAGAGGGGGCGCACGTACGTGTAGCTATGATATCGTACGTGACACATCCGAGGCCGCGCCGCTATCGTCCTCGATGGCGATTTCCCTTTTTAATTTACGTGTTTGTGCTAGAGTAATGTTCGTGTAATGTTGTTTATATTGTATGTGAGATTTCTAATATAGGAGTAACAAGGTGGAGAGAAAAAAATCTGTCCTTGTTCCTCCTTTACACAAATTCGCTAAATTGTTTTTTTTGTGTAAACATTTATTGTTTTTGTTCACGCTCTTCTCCCTTTATAATATAGTGCATTATTGCAAAATTCTTATTTGTAAATTCATGGAGTGTAATAATCTTGAAGTTATTTCTACTAGTTATTAACTAATTATTTAATCCTACTGTAAGTTATTCATGTTAAATTTGTAAAATATGGCATTACAGTATGTTATAATGTATTGTATAATATTACTTATTCCCCTACTGTTGATTCGATCATTCTTTTAATGTTTTTATTCGTCTTATTGTTACAGTTGGCTGGGCTACGAGCTTATTAGATATTTTTACATAATACATTTTTTTTGTTCGTAAATATGGTAACTAAATTATAATAAACCAATGTAACCTATATTTATGTATGTACCCATAATTTAATTAAAATTTTTTTTTTTTTTTCATCCTCTTATGCACGAAGACGTTTCATTTTGTCAGTTGCCGAAGGTGCACTTCTGACCGCTACGCGTACTTGGTTTTGCAACGCGACTGGTATTTATATGGTCTGTAGCATTGTTGGTTGCACTGTCACTGCACTCGCTGCTGCGCCTTCACTTTCGGAACGGTTTCTTCTACCTGTAAGCATTCTAGCCAAATTTAGTATTAAGGGGCCCCCCCATTTTTAAAAATCCAAACGAATTTACCGCCGTGCCTAATAATATTTCCGCCACCGTCCACGGTTAACCCTTGCACCCTGATAGTTCTCCTTTTATTTGCACTTCCTCGTATTCGTATGCTGGGTGATACACTCCACCGTAATGGTTTCTTATTTCGTATATCCTTCTCTATTCCCGCAGGTATATTCTTGTTTTTGACATCTTTTAAGAACCGCAGTAGAGAGAGTGAGGGGCGAGAAAAGAGAGCGGTTGGCTGTCTCGTCTTTGTTGACGTTCTATTTTCCTATATCTACGCTCATGCACATATATGTACCTGGAAGGTGCTTTACTCGAATATGACGCTACCCAATGCATTATACCATTCAAGAACCATGTGCTTATTTTCAGTTGCGAGTGTGGCACTCTCTTTACAGATATCTGTTTTCTCACACGCTATACAGTATACATAAATCTATTTCTCGCTATTTTACTACGACTACGCTTCCTTGTTGCCACATGCCTAATATTTTCTTACTCTGTCTTTATTATTTTTATAATTTTTTTCTTTTATATTTCTCATTCTTGTTGGTAATTCAATAAGTACACTTTATTAACACATTTAATTATTATTATACTCCAACAGAGGCGAGTCCGCGAAGATTGTCAATCTTGTGCCCGAGGCTCAATTGGCTTATGTTAGTCTGTCCGATTTTCTGTTCGTAAAATTTTCCGCTCCCTTCCTTCCGTTCTTGTGTGTCATGTATGGAAAGGGAATTATGATGGAGCCTTATTCGCTATGCGCCTATGTCAGGTGGTGCCATTGAGTGAGAGAAATTGTCCCTCGCTAAGATCGCCAGAATGCACGGAGTCTTATGGGAAAAATTTTTAATAAATCAAAAAGAAGGTCATTAAGAGTGAATTGACCAAATGAATCAGTGATTTGAGTGTGTCTTATGTTAGTGTACAGTAACAAATTTTTTTTGGTGTCATCATGTGTACTACAAGATTTGAAAAAATAAAAACATAGATTGCTACTCTGATGACATAGCATATTTAAGTGCATATACGTGCTTACACTTGTGGAAAGCTAAAAAAACACAAGTAATCCATGGAAACGTAGTATAAAGGTGTAAAAGTTAACCTAACCTGTCATAAGTATTAATTTTTATTGAACACTGTGTTGTGAGAAATAGATAAATGTAAGCAGTACTTGTGTTTCTCAAGCTCCATACAAGTGCAAGCATGTGTATACACNCCGCTTCTGCTTAAGTGTGAGTGAGGTAACAACTGCCCTATCTCTAGTTGAGCAGGTACACTATTTTTTTTTTCAAGGATTCTATGGTCTTGGGGTGCACACGAAGTAAATAGTCGAGGAACTAGTATCAACGTCTTTATTAATGCAAAAACGAGAGAAGAGCGCGTCGCATGTGTACGACCTTCGTCCTTGGTGGTTCCAGCCAGAGAGAAGGCTGCTTCCAGCATCCTATCTGCTTATCGCTTTACTCTCTCCCACTACAATCATCTATAGTAGGCCCCAAAAAGAGGGGGCACACGTACGTTTAGCTATGATATCGTACGTGACACGTCCGAGACCGTGCCGCTATCGTCCTCGATGGCGATTTCCTTTTTTAATTTACATATTTGTGCTAGAGTTATGTTCGTGTAATGTAGTTTATATTGTATGTGAGATTTCTAACATAGGAGTAAAAAGGTGGAGAGAAAAACAAACCTGTCCTTGTTCCTCCTTTACACGAATTCGCTAAATTGTTTTTTTTTTGTGTAAACATTTATTGTTTTTGTTATCGCTCTTCTACCTTTATAATATAGTGCAATATTGCAAAATTCTTAATTAATAATTCATAAAGTGTAATTATCTTCAAGGTACTTCAACTCATTATTAACTAATTATTTAATCCTACTGTAAGTTATTCATGTTAAATTTGTAAAATATGGCATTACAGTATGTTATAATGTATTGTATAATATTACTTATTCCCCTACTGTTGATTCGATCATTCTTTTAATGTTTTTATTCGTCTTATTGTTACAGTTGGCTGGGCTACGAGCTTATTAGATATTTTTACATAATACATTTTTTTTGTTCGTAAATATGGTAACTAAATTATAATAAACCAATGTAACCTATATTTATGTATGTACCCATAATTTAATTAAAATTTTTTTTTTTTTTTCATCCTCTTATGCACGAAGACGTTTCATTTTGTCAGTTGCCGAAGGTGCACTTCTGACCGCTACGCGTACTTGGTTTTGCAACGCGACTGGTATTTATATGGTCTGTAGCATTGTTGGTTGCACTGTCACTGCACTCGCTGCTGCGCCTTCACTTTCGGAACGGTTTCTTCTACCTGTAAGCATTCTAGCCAAATTTAGTATTAAGGGGCCCCCCCATTTTTAAAAATCCAAACGAATTTACCGCCGTGCCTAATAATATTTCCGCCACCGTCCACGGTTAACCCTTGCACCCTGATAGTTCTCCTTTTATTTGCACTTCCTCGTATTCGTATGCTGGGTGATACACTCCACCGTAATGGTTTCTTATTTCGTATATCCTTCTCTATTCCCGCAGGTATATTCTTGTTTTTGACATCTTTTAAGAACCGCAGTAGAGAGAGTGAGGGGCGAGAAAAGAGAGCGGTTGGCTGTCTCGTCTTTGTTGACGTTCTATTTTCCTATATCTACGCTCATGCACATATATGTACCTGGAAGGTGCTTTACTCGAATATGACGCTACCCAATGCATTATACCATTCAAGAACCATGTGCTTATTTTCAGTTGCGAGTGTGGCACTCTCTTTACAGATATCTGTTTTCTCACACGCTATACAGTATACATAAATCTATTTCTCGCTATTTTACTACGACTACGCTTCCTTGTTGCCACATGCCTAATATTTTCTTACTCTGTCTTTATTATTTTTATAATTTTTTTTTTTTATATTTCTCATTCTTGTTGGTAATTCAATAAGTACACTTTATTAACACATTTAAATATTATTATACTCCAACAGAGGCGAGTCCGCGAAGATTGTCAATCTTGTGCCCGAGGCTCAATTGGCTTATATTAGTCTGTCCGATTTTCTGTTCGTAAAATTTTCCACTCCCTTCCTTCCGTTCTTGTGTGTCATGTATGGAAAGGGAATTATGATGCAGCCTTATTCGCTATGCGCCTATGTCAGGTGGTGCCATTGAGTGAGAGAAATTGTCCCTCGCTAAGATCGCCAGAATGCATGGAGTCTTACAGGAAAATTTTTTAATAAATTAAAAAGAAGGTCATTAAGAGTGAATTGACCAAATGAATCAGTGATTTGAGTGTGTCTTATGTTAGTGTACAGTAATAAATTTTGTTTGGTGTTGCCATGTGTACTACAAGATTGGAAAAAATGAAAATATGGATTGCGACTATGAGAACACAGCAGATTTTTTTTTT